CTGGATTTCCTTTCCAGAAGGCCCCAGATTGTATGTGTGGGGAAGAACACCTCCTCAGTCATCACCCTGAGCACCGGCTCCCCTCAGGATCGCGTCCTGATTCTGCTGTTCGTCACTCTTATGACCCATGACTGTGTTGCCAGGTCCACCTCCAACTATATATTCAAATATGCTGATGATACAACGGTAGTGGGACTCACCCAGAATGAAGATGGCCGGGCCTACAGAGAGGAAGTGGAGCAGCTGGTGAACTGGTGCAGCAGAGACAACTCTCTCCTGAATGTCGACAAAACAAAGGAGATCATCGTCGACTTCAGAAAGAAGCAGCCCAGTCACACTCACTGCATATCAACCACTCAGCAGTGAAGGTGGTGGAGAGCACAAAGTTCTTGGGAGTGCACCTAACAGACACCTTAACCTGGACAAAAAACACAGGACCTCTGGTAAAGAAAGCGTTTGCACTTCCTCTGCAGGATGAGAAGATCACACCTCCCCCCTCCCATCCTCACCACCTTTTACAGGAGCACTATTGAGTCTGTGATGACCAACTGCATCTCTGTGTGGTGCGGCAGCTGCACAGCTGTGGACTGGAAGTGCCTTCAGAGAGTGGTGAGAACAGCGGAGAAAATTACTGGGACTTCTCTTCTCTCCATGCTGGACATCGGACGCAAACGCTGTCTGACAAGAGCCAATAACATCATCAGAGACTCCACACATCCACACCATAGACTGTTCTCACTGCTCAACTCTGGCAGGAGGTTTCTCAGTGTGAGGAGCAGAACAGCCAGATTCTACCAGAACAGTTTATCCTCCAGGCCATAAGACTACTGAACTCTCAGTGACAGAAAGCCAAACACCCACATAGACTATAGCCCCTTTTACGCTGCCAGATTTTCGGTGAATGTTGGGCCGTTTTGCTGACCGGCTGCGAGCTTAACAGGAGGGGCTGTTAAAGACTTGTGGGAGGAGCTGTTGATGACGCCGCAAGTGCGAGCTACTGGCGGTGGATAAACAGGAAACAGCTGATAGCAGGAATTAGCGAGCAGCTAGTAGCAAGAGGGAAATACAAACCTGACAGACACTGTAAAGATGAGCAACTGGGGAGACAAGGAATTGTGCGCCTTCCTTGTCCTCGCAAACGAAGAGGCCATTAACCGTCAGATGACGGGGACGGTGAAGAACGGGCCGACTTACGAGAGAATCACAGAAGGACTGACCAGCCGCGGCTTCCCTCCCACGTCACTATTTACGTCACACGCTCAGCTACATGTTTTGTTACTTGCTCACGCCCCCCATTGCCCCGAAAAAGGCACATTCTGTATAAACAAAAGTAGGTAGGCGGCATTTTGCTGCACTCCCCGATTTAGTTTTTATACTGCCAATGCTGAAAAAAGACTGATTGGGCTTTCCTGCAAATTTGCACAACTCCTGTTTAAAAAGGGCTGCAGACACAAACACTGCTGCTAGAACTGTCCATTGATTTTTAAAACTTTATATATTATTGCAGATTTGTGAACTGTATGTACACAGAGCAGTTCTTATATTTGACAAATTGTATTTTTAACTGTTATTCAGAGTCAGTGCAACAAAATTTCTATCTATCATCATCATCATCATCATCATCATCCTCAGTCTCTCAGCCTCAACATGAACTCATGTCTCTGATTTATTGTGTATTTACACGTGTAGATTTAAACACACACTGATTCACTGAGCTGTGTGCGTGTGTCTCTGACATCAGTTCACACACACACACACACACACACACACACACACACACAGTCATCACATGTACATTAAACTAAACTAAACATTCTACTGAATGAACTTGATGTAAAGGATGTTTATACTTAACACTGAGTGAGTGTGTGTGTGTGTGTGTGTGTGTGTGTGATGAATGGGTCGTCTTCAACATAAACACTGCAGATTTCTTCTCAGGCCTGAAACTGAGCTCTGAACCATCTTCAGATGAACTCAACTGGTTCTTCAGGATGTTTCAGACTCACGTCGTCCATCAGCGACCTCGGCATGCTAACAACACGTCACTGCTGTCTTTATATGTGACACGTGACACACAGTCAGACTGAGACAGAGACGTTACTGAACACATCACGTGTGAAATGAACCAAACAGCAGTGCTCAGTCTGAAGACAGTATTGTTCAGTTCAGTTATAACTGATGATTATTTCAGAAAGAATCTCACTGAGCTTTTTTTGTCCAGAGACACAAAACCAGAGTAGAAATGAAGCAGTATTTATAGAGCTCAGCTTTCTTTATGCCAAAAACTGGAAACTTTGGAAAAACATTTCCAGACTGAGCACTGGTCAGTGGAGGAGAGCATAACTGACATATTAAAGTGTCATCAACATACATGTGAGAATATGTGGAGTCCCTTTATTAATGATGTGACAGATTCATCAGGCGATCAAATAACTGGATCATTTCTGTAAAAGTGACGTTTCTAAACTTCTTTTGTTTCTTTTCTTACAAATGCTGTTGACAGTTTGTATTTAATGCATTTACTGTGCTTCACTTCGTACAGATGAACATTTATTAACATCTATTAACACAAGAGGAGCATTTTGTCAGTTTGTATTTATTTTGTGTCTCTGTCTTGGTTCTGTAACAGCGCAGTAGTTTTACGTTACATTATATTTATATGAATGTTAAAAGCTGAATTTTACGGTGGTTCAATATAAATATTGTGGTAAATAAATAAAAGTGGTCGGTGTGAGTCAACATGAACTGTGTGCTCAGGTGATCCTGAGATGTTGCTGCTCTCCAGAGGATAGAGCCTGATGATCTGACTGACTCCACTATGTTTCCTGCACACACACACACACACACACACACACACACAGAGTGTGTTTCTCTGATCACTGTGGGAGCAGGAGGTCAAAGGTCACAATGACATCACTGTGGTTGCTATGCAACATGAAGGTGGAGAGCTGCAGCAGCTCAGTAACCACAACACTTTGCTGTGTCAGATAATATCACTGGTGTTATTGACTCTGCTGAGGACGCCATGTTTTCTCTGTCTTCAGTTAAATGACAGGGACACAGACGTGATCTTATTTGGCCCCTCTGACTCCATCCAGGATAAATCAAACCACCTCGGGCCCCTGGCCCCGGACCTTCATACCCAGAGCAGAAATCTTGGTGTCGTCTTTGATTGAGTTTTAAAATCTGACAAACACATGAACACCGTCGTTACATGGACACGTTTAAATCTGAGCTGCAGAGCATCGTCAAGTCTCAGATTTCATTTTTAGATTCTGAGCTTTATTTTCTTTTTCACTCATTTATTTCTGCTTCTGTTTTTGGGTTTGTTATGTTTTTTGTTGTTTTTTTTTTTTACATTTTTTTATCATGTTCTGTTATTTTACTATTTTATTTTATTGTACAGAACTTTGCTTTAGAAATAAATCTGATCTGATTTAATTTCTTCATCTGTCAGCAGGATTACAGCACTGGCCTGTTATTCATGCTGAAACATGGTGGAGGGGGTGAATACTGACCTACAGCATGGGTCACAGAGGAGCTCTTTATATGCTGGATCAGATCCAGATCACAGGACAGACACACAAATCCCTCCAAGAATCTCCACCTAAACATGGAGGGAAGGTTTGTGTGTCCCTGTGATCCTGGAGCCCTGTCGTCTGGAGCTAACAGCTCCTGGTACTGAGGCAGAGTGGTCCCAGAGGAGGGGCCAGACTATGAGTGATTAAGAACAGTTCCACGCAGCAGCAGGTCAGGACTGTTTGGTTGTTGACGATCATCATGTTCATACTGAGCCCAGAACACTGGCTCTGAAACACTCCACAGCACACAGCTGGAACAATCTGCAGAACCCTGTAGATGTAAATGCTGTTTGACTCAGAGATGTGTGAATGTGTTTATCTGTGAACTGATGTTCTTCCTCTTCTGGTGTCTTCGTCCATACAAACTGTTCTTCAGATTCTTCTGTTGTTTATAACTTGTTGTTGTTTGCTGGGATTTTTGTGCTTTTATTGTTTTTAATGTTCTGTAATCAGAGCGTCCTCGTAGAGGAGAGCGTCCTCTCGGTGGCCTTCACTGTTTAAATAAAGGTTATTGTAATAATCAGAACAAAAGAAACCCTGATGACACTGTGAAATCGTAGCTCCAGTATGCAGGGCCCAGGGCTCCCCCTCTGGAGCCGGACCTGGGGACGGGGGGAGCTGGCGAGCATCTGGCGGCCGGACCCTGGACCATCAGGACCTGGTTGGGCTCACTCTTAAGAAATGACATGGAGCCGCCGCCCTGTGGGCTCGTCACCTGCAGGTACAGCCTCTGGGGTCAGGTGCATTGTGTGCAGGCGTGCTGACCTCTGACATCACAGATCGGATCTACAGCTGAATTATCTTTCGCTTTCGTAAACATTCAGCCTTGGCGCTGGTCTGTCTGTGCTCTCTGAGTGACCCTCTAGTTATTATTATTATATTTATGGTTCCCAGATGATGAACCCTAACATTGATCCCTGATGATTCCTGTGACAACAACAGCTGGTCAAACTTGTCAAACATGATCAACATCAACATGCTACGCTAACTGCTAATGCTAAACTGCAGATATCTTGGATGTCTCATCCATGCAAACAGTTCACTCTTCACTTTGCTTAAAAAAGAAAATGTTTAAAGGGTCCCTCACTCTCAGAGACTCAGATCAAACTGTAAAACGAAGCAGCGCTGATCAAACATGAACCGAGATTCTGTCGCTGCGCCGCCAATTTCTTGCCTCAAAGTTCTGCAGAAACCAAACTGCTTCGCTCCAGCAAGACTGAGTAAGTGGACCTTTATCTGTGAACTGCAGAGTCAAGAGAACTGCCGAGCTCAGCTATATGCTAAATGTTAGCATGTTAGCAGATTACACTAACACGCTAAAGGCTAAGTATGTCATCACTGTGACATCATTCAAAGAAACAAATAGAGTGAAACAGTCTGACGACGTCTTCTCTGCACAGCAAGTGTCGTTGTTCCTACCTGGAACATGACGGTGAAGAAGACGACCACAATCGTCGTGGCGACAAAGTAATCCTTCGCTTTGACCTGCTGGCCGTCCAGCAGCACCACCAGAGCGAACGCCACCGCCCCTCGCAGGCCGCCGTACGACATCACCACCTGGTCGATCTTGTCCAATGGGACGAGGCGGAAGCGGTTCAGAATCCAGGTCTGGCCAATCACACCTGCAGCACAGAGGTTACTAAAGGTCAGGATGGTCACAGAGCGTCCAATCAGAAGCTTTACAGAGGTAAACAGGCTGAGGATGTTTGTGTGACATGACTCTGACGTCAGGTGACAGTAAAGCTGAAGATATTTATTCATGTCTAATAATGTTCATGTGTCTGAGGCTCTTTATGCAGATGTCTCCATGTGAGACGGACAGTCAGTGGGAGGGGGCGGAGCCGAGGGAGACGACAGACTTAAAGGTTACAGGAGGTTTTTTCGGTCTGATATCAGCGTGACATTTTAACCTGCACATTCAACATCAGTGATCAGCATCACTAACGCTCAGCTGTGCAGCTGAAATGTCACAACGTGAGGCTGAAACAGAAACAAACAGCTGCAGCTCCTCCAGCGTCACCAACCAATCAGCTGGTACGACATAATTCACTCTGTCATGTGTTTACATCACACATCGTACATGATGAACACATTACTGAGGAGCATTTTAACAGTTTGGATGTTCTTCTTTTCTCTGACATCATGCTCAGCTGATTCAGTTACATACGGGACATTTATTATTCTGTCTCTATGGAAACGTGTTGAACTGTGATGTGTCTGAGGTGAAATAGGAGACGGAGGAAGTGACCGACCCACAGCTCTGAAGACGAGGATGAAGACGAGCGTGCAGGACACCAGGCCGGTGTCCCAGGCCCACTTGGACTTGTCCACTGCTGAGATCCCCAGGAAGATGAAGATGATGGTCTCAGCGATGCTGGCCAGCGTCTTCATCGTGTACTTCACCGTGGTCCGAGACTTCTGAGAAATGTTGGCCTCCACGTACTTGTTGGCGCCGATACCACAGAAGGTCATCCTGAGGACAGACAGACGGAGGGACAACGAGACATAAGCAACTGTGTGACAGCTCATGAGCAACTCCAAGATACCACCTATGAAACAACTTGTTAGGAAACATTCTGTACCAGAGTCCTGCGCTGGGTCAGGTGCCCGACGGTTACCCTGCACAAAGTAAGTAAAGTAAAACTGAGCTCCAGTCGGGAAGCAGGTGAGCAATCTGTTTTTAATCTTTCATAATAAAGTGCAGTAAAAAGATGTGCAGTATGTGTGTAATATTTTGACACCAGTGTAACCTTTGACCCCGTGGTCACACTGGTCACTGACGTGGAGGATTCCAGCCATGACACTTTGCAGCCCGAGGATGAGGTGGCAGCCTACATGGAGTTCAAGACACCCAAGGAGGATCCTTTGAAGGTTTGATGGTGGTGGAAGGAGCATGCTAACATGTTTCCTAATCTGGCAGTGATTGAATGTTTTCACCATCCAGTCAAAGAGACGTCCAATTCAAGAACAGAGAACCAGCTTCATGTGAGGGGCTGGAGCCTGGGGGGTTGATCATGGTGAGGGGCGGGTTGCAGGGCTTCTATAAACAGGTCAGGGTCAGGTGCAGCTTTGACTGAGACATAACGGGTCGGTTCTGGCACTGAGCTTTACGGGTATAGGTGGGTGTGGAATTGTCAAAAATTGAAAATGTGGGCGTGCAGCCTCGTTCTGTGGACGATAAACCAGGTGCAGACTTCCATCAGTGTCACCGCTGATGAGGAAATACAGCGAGTGCTGGACGGAGCAGTGAGTGACAACAACCCCGCCCACATTTAAGAGGACTGTCTGAACACACAGAGGGTCTAGGTACCATGTCTGAAGGGTCACTGCTGGTTCCACAGGGTTTGGTGGAACGGGGCTAAAAAAAAAACACCACTGAATCGTTCCTCAGGTTCTTATTAGGGATGCACCGAATATTCAGTAATCGAATATATTTGGCCAAATATTGCAAAAAAACACACATTCGGTATTCGGTGGAATAAGTGAAAAGCAAGGCCGAATAATAGCGGCGTGTTTTGATAACGCAATCAAACGGCGTGCGGTGACGGGCGGAATAAAATGTCGGTAGTGTGGTGATCCGTCCGTCACAGCACTCGCATTTGCGACTAAAAATAGTTTTGAGCGAGCAAAATAGGCTTAAATCATTCAGCACGCTGTGCGAGCAGCCTACAGATTTCAACCAGCAGCAGAAACGAAAGGCGAATCCCACCGATTGTGGGTTGAACGGGGGTCACAGACACAGACAGTAACGTTAATGTATTCCTGTCAAATACGGCGGCCATCGGCTTACCCGGCGACGGAGAAGTCGGCTCCAATAATATCCTCTTCTTGGTGTCATGACTGCCCAGAAGTACCTGAACAGCCGAGCCAGCCGAACACAGGTATGTGACGTGTCAGAGGAGAAACGAGCCGTTCACATTTCTCTCT